GACAAGCTATGAGCAATTGAAAGCTACCATCTTGCCTACATCAGGACATAATTATTCGTGATATATTAACACAAAATATAGTATATTTTGAAATTATGCACTATCCTACAGATGGTCCAAGGATCGAATCCCGGCCTGATACCCACATACTAACCAGCCAGGCCTTCCATCCTTCTAGGACCAGTTGGTACCGGACTTGTCTGGGCGAGCAAAAGCCCTGGCTTTTACATGGGCTGGTCACTGTAACTAATTGCATGGGCCATATACGCATTCAAAACGTTTCTAAGATTCTGGAAAGAAGTTGAATGAGTGGGCACATCCCAAACTGGATCGATTATGACGGGGAAATTTCACCCTTCACACCTTCAATATAGAACAGTGGACTAATGTAATCTTAATTAAATTATAGTACAGTGACATCATTACAATCAACAATTAATTCAAACATATCTGACGTTACAAGAACGATGTCATATGGACAACGGCAATTAATTACTAATAAAAAGCTTTTGACGTCAATCAATCCTATCTCAAGATACGCCACGCATCCGGCTTCCATTCAAAATCGCAGTAATGTAATGAATGCGAATATGACCTATACAATNAGCTGCAGTGGCCAGCCGATGTACAAGTTAGAGCTTTGATCCTCCCAGACGAGTCTGGTACCAATTCACAAAATTGCTGACGATACAGTCACCACAAATCGCGGTGGATCAACTTTCATCAACGTCTGTCAACTCTGAAAGGTTCCAGCCTCGTGTATTACCATACGTGGACGATAGAGGACTTCTACCACACAAGATCAAACAATTTCAAGTTTTTCAAAAGTGAATTCTTAACTTCTTAGTTATGGGCCTCAGGAAGATCTATCATGTTTAGTCTTTCTAGCCTTGCGCCCCTTCCTCCTTTTTCAGTTGTTTAAACATTGTGTATTACATGCGTCGAGTTCGACCAAAATAGCCATGTATTCATGTACACAGTAACCAAACTAGTCGATATTTCGACCGAATAATAGAAGTATCGAAAAAAGGAACGAACAAAAGGATGAGATGCTTCTTGAATTTTATGAATTATTGCAAAAGGTTTTTGATAGACAAAAAAACGATATGCAAACTATTCAATTCCTCCCATGGTGATAGAAGAGTGAATGATGCCATAGAGATGTCGCCAATCAATGTCGCCAATCGGATGCGCTCCGTATTCGTCTTCTACTTGGAATCGTACAATCATTTGAATGCGTATGTAGCCTATACAATGCTTGCGGTAGCTAGCCGACGCATAAGTCAGTGTTTGACCCCCGCAGACGAGCCTGTTACCAATTTGCCGACCGCGGAGGGATGGAAGGCATGATCAGATCGAAATGTGATACCCGAAGTGCGTGATAGTACGCCATCTGCACTCTCCGCCCTATGTGGAGGATACCTGTCACACTATTCTATGACTCAAGAAATAATTTTCTGTCCGCTTTCCCAAAATACTTTTCTTCCAAAAACCGAGCTCTTGCTAGCGTCTTTCAAAATAAAGTCTTTGCATATGCGTTGGTATGTCAGTTGTTGCTGCTTCACATAGTCTTTGTTTACAGAAGAACAAAAGTCTAAAGCCCAAAACGTCGTCGGCAAGCAAATGGTTCAAGAAAACGTTGCTTTGAGCTCAGGCACAAGGCCATATAGTGGGCTAAGTGTCAAGCGAAATGGTCAGGTATTATATAAATGATACGATTTTATTATGAAACTATTCGATTAAGAAGTAAACCGACGTTTGCTTTAAACTAAGAGGAATTTTCTCTAGTATATGGTGGAAAAAAGTTTCAAATTGCTGTGTACAAGTGCTTTTGTAGTGTCGCTAAAAATGAAGACCTCCTGAAAAAACCGTTACAAAAACAGATGGGAAAATTTATAGCGTCGTGGCCATCTTATTTGCGGAAGGGTACTACAGACAGTTACCTATACCTGTTTTCATATGAAGGATAGCCGGCGGATGCCTATGACCATTATTTCGCCCACATCCAACACCCCACCGTCTCCTTCCTCATGACTGTACGAACTCAAATGGGGCATTGAAAAGAGAGCTTTCCGGGAGAAACAAAAAATGCGTCTCGGCAAACTCCGCAAACGAAACGAAGCGGTCTTTTCTCTCTATTGCACAGGATTTGCAGTAAATGGACTACCACCTACGGAACTTCGATGAAAATCCATGGAATCTCCTGATAACATTGAGCTCCTGGATTTTTTTTTAATTTCCATCTTGAACAAAAAATGAATAAGCTCACGAAATCATGATGAAGACCATGTTCCAAAGTATACGTTGCGGCCCTTAAGAAAGTAGAGAAGCAGCTTTGAAAAAACTGAATGAAGTACTACCCATAAATGAAAAGGCGGAGATCTGTTCAGTCATGGGACCATAATTCCACATATTATTGTGCGGAAAAGCAACTGGTACCGGAAATAAGACAAATTACACAACATCAACAATTTCCATTCTTCCAAATGCACAACCAGCCTGGTTGCTTGGTTTCTAGATAAATGGGTGGCCGAGAAAGCGAATTTTATCCACGGAATTTCATTTTTTTAATGAATGCCTTGCATGTTATATTGGGTTGATACTAATGGACCCGAGAACCAACTAAGGACCAGATGCGTCGTAGATCTGGTCCTTAGTTGGTTCTCGGGTCAGGACTTGGCCCTTGCTACTCCCAACTTCTTGTCAATCATACACACTGTGCCCCTTTGTTTTGATCACTATATTTATGTTCTTTTTTTGTAAATTGTTGACATCCATGTGGACGTACTGTAAGGACAAATAAAGCATCAAGTCTTATGAGATAAATCAAATGCAGAATCAGACATAAATTTCCCTCTCACTTCTTCTTTGGTGCTCTAAGCAAAGTTAGTATGGAAAGCAGCTGCCTTCATGACGCACCTAACACTCAGATTTCATTGCCGCTGTAGGAGACAATAGAAGCGATGCTACTGCCACTCTAAGCATATTGGTGACAAATCTAACACCAATTAAAGTTATAAAAGAAGCAACGTTGGTTTTCGGACAACAAATGTCGGCGTCTGGATAAATTTCTCAACTTTTGAAAAATAAATCAATAAAATAAGAAATATTGTAGGAAAAACCGGGTTCAATCAAACGTTTTCCCACATAGAGCGTAGGCGAAATTCTATTTCAGAGACCCCATGCCCATTTATCAGTGTCATATTTCGGAATCAACTATAACGTCACGCATTTCAACATTTTCGTGTCGACCTAAGGGCAAGAAGAAAATATAGCTCAGCAAGCTCGTGTGCTGTGAAACATATTTCTCTATTTCACTGAACCGACAGTATTCGGATTGGACAATCCTAACACTAAACGAAGAGCAGGGAAAGGTCACTCATCAACAAGGCCACGAAACACGCTACGTTCATGAACAAAACATCCTGTAATCAACATTCTGGAACGACTTGTAAGGCATGAGCATCGAGGCGGGAAGAGGTCGAAGAATGCCTCTGCACAGTCCTCACCCAGAAGAGAAACCAGGCCTAGATGTTCTTCAAAATTCGCTTCTTGGTAACTCTCCTATACTCATAATTTGTAGCGCGGAAAACCCCATCAACAGCGTTCAACAGCGTGACATCTGTGTTCACTCAGTCGTAGAAGCGAGTGGATGTTTGCAACTGCAACCCTCCTCTTGCTCATATCACTTCTACTCCAATTACCCAAAACAACCGATGATGGGCGACTAAAAACACCGTCTATTTAACCGCTGGGAGCCAGACTGCAGCTGGGTGAGAACTATAGATAGAACTATAGAGCAGAAGAAAAGCTTTAGTGGCCATCATGTTATCACTCCTTCACGGTAAATCCAGTAAATCATCAAGTAGGTGGAATTGTATAATAGTTTGAACTGGCCCCTGTGCCAGTACTCCTGATCGCTTCTACAAAGAACCAAATCACGATACAAAAGCATTGAACAGCTTGAAAATAAGTGGTAACGTTGAGAAAATCACTAAGCTCAAAATCCTTTTCGAACAGATTTTCGAAGAAGCGCTATACACCTATTTCGTATGCCAATTTCGCATTGGAATAACAACGAAAATTTGAAAAGGCCTGTACAAGCAACCAATGTAAATTGATCGAAATGAGAGTTTGGGAGGGGAAAAGCAATGAGAGACGTGATACACGTCGCTGACTAGGGACTGATGTGAATCCATTGCAATGAGAACATCCTTTATTTACGTGGCAGCTAGCTTCAGCCCTCCGACTTGACGAATGTTCAATGAAAGCTTCATGCAGTGAACCACCAAAATACATTTTCGTAGAAAAAACGTAATGAAATGGTAATGAACGGATTCTAGAAATAGAAAATTGAAAGCTAGAGGCGAAGATCTTTTCTTTCGGAAACAAATATCGCCTACATCCTATGGTTTTTCGTCACATAAAGTCTAGCTTTGACTTCTCTTACTGTCCATCGATTTGCCATTTTGCTATTTTACTATTTTGCTGACTTTAAAAAGTCGATTTTGTCGATCGAGTCAGAAAAAGCCTCAAAGTAATATTTTGTTACTTTGAACACCTAGAATTTGTGGCAGGAGGGGAAAGAGTTAACGCCGAGAGGCGCGCTACCACATCTTAGTCCTCGAATCAAAACCCCACACCTTTTTGTACTCTCACTTTTCGTCGGAAAAAAAACGTGACCACTAAGTTCGTAGGCTGATTTCAAAGGATAACGAAATACATCATACATCCCAAAAATTACTCTGAAACAACAAGAAATCAGGAAAGTAGAACCTTCACTTGTTTCTGTACTCCAGAAAGCGAGCGAGTTGATGATCTTCTACTGATTTTGAGAAGGAGGAAAGAACATCTTCAATGTCTTGGAATGATAAAGCTTGTCGAGAGTTCACATTACCATCAAATCGACTTCTGATCTGAAATATTTCTATGTGACATTCGCCTTTATATGCGACGAGTAATCCTATGCAGGTATAACTGTATAGCCTAGCACAATAAAATTAATAAATAACGAAAAAGACTTGACGCTGAGTAACCACCTTGTAGTATCGGAACTGAGTATAGGCTAATTCGGTCGCAAAACGTCGGATGTCATCTCCACTGAATCCATTTGTAGCTTCCGCTATCCATTCAAATGATACACTCGAATCCATCGTGGTGTGCTATACAAGACGTAAGATAATGAAAATCCCGGGATATCACGCTCCCCAGCTTCTTTTGATTCCAACAGCAGTGTGCCAAGGAGCCTTACCACATAATTCAACAACCATACGATACAACTATTTCGCCAATTGAATTTGAGAATGTGAGTGAACTGTGAAGTGAGAAATTTGGCTGTTCAACTTACCAAAAGACGACTTTTAAGCATATCTAGCCGAGAGCGGTAATCTGGAAGACCGACATAAATCTTCTTTTCGAATCTGAAATTGCCAGGAGACTAGGCAAACTCTCGAACTAACATAAATGCTTATGAAATTTTTACACTTAACAAAAACTAAAAAAACTTAAAACTCAAAAGGGTGTTTACAATGTTGCCAGCCGTCTTCAGCTCGTCTTCAGTTTTTATTCACTCACGGAGCTAATCATTGTCCCATCCATAAACAAAAGTTCTACGAGCTACAGTCAAACCTTCGCATGAAAGCAGGATCGAGATCCCAAGGGCAGTTTGTCGCACACACTAGAACAACCTTAGAAGTGGATTGGAGGCGTTGTATCTGGACGAGTAGCTCGGTCTGGAAAAATTTTAGGCTAAGAGCACTAAGTTTGAAGTAGGGTGATATTAAAACGATTGTTGGTTTCTTTCTAAGCCGGAAAGCACAGAGCGTATAAATATATTGTAAGTATAATTATTGCGAGAAATTTGAATGAGCAAGTTGTTTCGAAAAATGGAGCTTCGATTACTATGATCAGTAAAGGAGATAAGAGGAAAACGCTAAGAACATGAAACATATCCGTCACAGTCGACTAAAGCAGGGACTATGAGTTTGCTATAGTGCAATTTTGATCTACTTCCCAGTTTCTTTCGATGCCCAGACTCTACTCAACTTGCGCTCATGAATAATGATTTTTCACTCATTAATAAAGTTTTTTCATCCACATCAATGCCTACTGTGATTGGTTCGCCTCCATTTTTACGATACTATCCAGAGAGCTCGGAAGTTTTGCAATGACTAGCCCTTTTCGGTACTCGTTATTCTTACTAGTTTTACACGTAGCCAGTTTTAAGACACTGTGCCTTTCTATCCTCTCTTTTTGCATGTAAAAGATCTGCAGGAAACAACAATGCTACGGTTAAAAAGTTGTAGGCAAGAAAGCAAGAGACACCTCTACCCACCTTCACACGTCGATTGGCGTCATCTTCAGAAGAAGATCTTATTCTGCAGAGACTGTCTACTTCGTCGATGAAAATTACTGCAGCTGAAGCGAACGTAAACATTTTATTTTTACTTTATATGGAACTTCAAAAGTAATTTTTGATTTTCTGAGAGACTCTGTCAAGCCCGGCAGCCATGTCATATGGTAGCCCAATAGAATGGAAAATGACCACTGCAGTCAGTGTAAGCCACCTAATTATCTTCACCGTATCACAGCTTTGCCTGTCCTGTCTCGCGAAAAATTAGCGTGGTTGGTTAATTACCCTACTATAGAAGGAGTGTGAACACGTGAAACAGTTCAATAAAATCTTTTGGAAAGCAACGACCGAACTTACTTCTATTTGATGCAACAGCGTGATCAAAAAGTTCCCGAATGAGGCGTTCTGACTGACCACTCCATGTGGATATCAGATCCGATGAAGACACCTAGACAAAAATGGATTACCAGATGAAAAAAAAANAAAAAAAAATTTAGACACACTCCACCTGATACAACTGCGACTTTGTTTCACGCACGATGGCCTGTGCGAGGGCAGATTTCCCTGAATAGAAGTAGGAAGATTACGATTTACAATAATGGACTCTCAGCTTCAGATTTCAGCTCACCGGTCCCTGGCGGACCATAGAGTAGGACAGCCTTCCATGGTTTCAGATCTGAGGAAACAAACCATTCCGGATACTGAATGGGATCCACCAAAGCTTCGAATAAAGCGGTTTTTGCCTAGAGGGAATTTGTAGCGACGTTATTCCATGTTTCCAGCTTTCCAGCAACATTCCGAAATCAGCAAAAATAGAAAGATTCCCAGCGGAAAACTACCCGATGCGTAGCGTAAAGTTACCCGTTTGAAAGAGTGATGGATAAAGCCTTCACCTCTTCAAGACCGATAATTTCACTGAGTTTAGGGAGCTCGTCGAGGTTGGTCACAATTGTAGACTCAATCGCCTGTCTAAATCGAATCCGTTGTCAAACAGTGGAGAGATTTCAACCAACTAACCAAACGAACGTTTTCAGATCAGAGCAAAAACGATGGCGCACCTACGACTACTTGAGAATGAATCCAATTCGTCTTTCGCAGTGGATCGAGATGGCTCAAACGGTGGCGAGCTACAAGAGGATGACCAAGTCGCCTTGATTTATGGAACGAGGAAACAGAAGAAGTACCTAATATCGGTGACATCAGAGGAAGGACATATTTCAGAGGGAAGCTTCTCTGTTGTTCCTATATCGCCGATTTCTGATTCTGTCTTCATTGAAAACTGTAAGATAGATTTCAGTGCAGTGGTAGGCAGAGCTGTCTGCAATTAGTTTTCCTCGGGCTCTACCTAGTGGAGCTTGAATTCAGAACACTTTTGTATGAAGCATCCGAATTTGAAGTACTCCTCTAGTACCATATTCAAAATAAAGTTGAGCTAAAATGCTCCGAGAAAAATAGCATAACCTGTTCGTTCTTGACATGCTGCGTAAGGGCAGCGTCTAACAAATCCTGTGCTAATTTTAGTGTCCGATGGAGGTGTCGATAAATACCATTCCGTTGAATAGCTTCATTGAACGTGGTCAAATATGCAAGCAGCTGGAATATAGAAGGGACTACAGCCTTTTATTTGCAATACACATAACTATCGAGAAATATCAAACCTTGACAATTTCCTCTTTCGTGGTGTCGGCTCCTGTTTGGACTGTTTGTTCAAGAGCTATCGAGAACCGATGTAGCCAGTCGTAGACGTCATCGTCGGACCACGAATTAGTATCCATCACAAGAAAGCGGCGTGGCGAAAATCGTATCCTCAAAGAGAGTGATCATTTTGTTGCTAACGCATGCATTTGAGCGACGTCCCCTTACGCCGTCTCCGCGACGCATGAGTCAAGCGCGCGGTAATCAATACCTTTCGGGTTGCTTTACCCCAGGATTGAATGTGTTCCATGTACTCGTCTGCAAGGTTTTGAATATTTGAGATTATAGGATGACGGCCAGTGATCACCAATGAGAAAAGAAGTCGTAGTACGTAACTATAACAAATGAAGAAGAAAAACGATGTAGCGGTTGTTTTTTGTACAAGAGCGGTCCAAAAATGCATCTGCTTTTATATAAACAGGTCTACCACTAATTAGTCACGTTGAGCAGTGAATCTATTAGCGTTGAACAGAAAATGTATAAAACACAACCAAGCAGCAGCACATACGCAGCATCGATTACCGCATGCGCGACTCACGCGCCGCGTCAGCGGCATGGCTAGAGCGCAGACCGCTATGAGTCTAAACTGAATCTCAATAACAAAAGCCAGTCAAGGGTCCCAAGGTATGACAGATATGAAAATTCAGTACGAGCACTCGGCCCTTACACTAATGCGGCTATGGATTGATGCAATGCTTTAACGCAATCTGTCTTGCATTGTCAACACGTGGCCAGCGTCACTGTTGGGTCGTGATCGTTGGGTTCATTGTCTCAACCCTGAGAGCACCTTTCGAGGGTGTGGCACCTAGCACCCGAACTGATCGCGCGCTGTCTAGGCGGAGTTTTGAATTTTCAGCGATAGGTCAAGGTAATTGTTATTGTTGGTGCCGCTTTCCGTGGGATTTCGGGTACAAATACATTTTAGTGCTCCGAGAGGTTGGTACGTGCGGGTTTGCTCCAGACGGCTATTTCGGTGAGAGGGTGCAGACAGGTGTAGGAAAGTGTCTGAGAGTTGTGCGCCAAATTTGAAACAGGTTTATCTGGTGGGGCACGGAGGTCAGTTTTTTTCGTATCAAGGGAGATCGCTGAGTGTAGGAGTATTTCCAGAGCTGGACTCGAAAATTTTTATTCATAGTGACCTGGGCGCAAAGACGCTCTATTAGTTTGTAGATGAAATTTGTAGAAGGAACGTTTATTGAAACGAAAAACAATAATTTGAAACAAAAATTAAGGTCTCGTTGTGCAATATTTGATGTTTACAAATACTGGACCGGTGTCTTCTTATGCTCTTCAGCTGCAGCATCTGTAATGAGGAAAGCCTTCAAACAATTGCAATTAAGAGGAAACGATTCTTGAGGTGAGTTAAAATTTGACTTTTTTTACTTTTTAGTGAATTTCTTGGAAGAAGCTTTTAATTTTGGTTTTCAAATTTAACAACTGATAAATTTCACTTTGGGGTCGAAATAGACAATAGTTTGTTGCCCATGGAGGTTACACTACGCTCAGGATTATGTGGAGAGAAGGGGCGTACCTTCACTCGAGAAATTCCGGACAGCTGCTGCATATCTAGGAGAATTAATCCACTTCATTTGGAGAAAACACGATATGCGAAAAATCACTGGGAAGCAAACTCGGATGCGGCTCCGGGAGACTGGGAGGTAGAAGCGCATGAGCGATCCAAGTAGCAAATTTGGCACCATTTCAGATTCTATCAATCCAGTTAGGTTGTATTCACGAGAAGTATGAAGCCTTCTCTGTTAAGGTGCAGTTATACAGAAACATATAGTTCGGTTAAAGGCACAGTTCATAAAAATAGTTTCTGAGTCCTCCCTCTCGGAATACTCGGTGGCCCCGAGGGTAACAGGAAGGGCGGTGTCGAGCTCCAAAACTCAGCAGCTAGGGCATAGTGGGAACCCCGTTACCGGATCGCCCGGTCTTCCAGCCCCTCGATCGATGTCATGTCAGACGAGTGTCGAGGCTATACAGACTGCAATACTCGTTCTAGGACCCACACACAATCAGCTGATCGATGAGTTCTTTAATTCTCTGTTATTATTTTTGCTGCTGCGATCCTTATTCTAATTTTCTATCTCAAGAGGCTGAAAAAAAGTGGGCGGGTTTCACTGTTACTAGGGTTTTTTGTTAAGTTATACGTATGAGTGCATGAGTTTCTGCTTACTGTAGTCAACTATTCGCAACAGGACCCACACGTACGCAATGATACACATTGTGTAGCTCGTCCAAACGCCCCACTCTTCTTCATTTTTCTGGTCTCATTCTCGTCCAGACTCCTTCTTGAAANTTTTCACTTTGGAAACACCGATTCACGCAGCTTCTTCGCCTTCATCGCACTATTTTCCATCTTATCTTCCATTTTTCGTTATAATCTGGACTACCCAAAATTTCCGTGAACTGTGCCTTTAAGATAACACTTGTACAGATGGTAGGCCGAATCTTATCATCTTGCATACTCATGGGACCGGGTGAAGAGATTCAATATTGTCTCACTGGTCAATACTGATTCCATTGGTACCGGCTACCGAAGTCACTGTATACTTTTAACAACTTTTAACAGACATTAGCTGGCTTTATGATTTTATAACGAAATCGAGAGTATGACGTAATTTTATGGTCATTTTTTGTTCTACGATTATCATTTATTAGTACTAGAATTGCTCAATGTCATTGATTCGAAAGATAACGGGGGACAACGTTAGTAACTCAGGTTACAAGTCCAGGATGACTCACATCGTTCTAGTTCTCTGCTGATCCGGTTTGGCGAGCTTTGCCTTTTCCTTCATTTGGCGATTTGCCGCTCTCTTCACCTTTCTCCTCCGAGTTTCCGCTGAACATTACAATTCAGTGCACCTGGTTGACGAAGGAGTATGATACTATCCAACCAAAGTCGATGAAGATAGGGACGATTGAAAAGGGGCGTCATCAAACTCTACCATTCTATAGCACTCCGACTTCGACCTTATTTGGGTAAGGGACCTACAAATAATCTGAATCTCATTGTTGGCTTTGGTGTTACAAGCTCCTATCGTAAACCTTACGTCTGCACGATCGATGCAGTTCTCAAACTCTGAAGACAGAGTGCTACTAAAGGTATTCTATCCACTGGAATTGCCGATAGCAGAGATGGACACGCTTTTCGGAAGCTTGGGGAAAAGTAAAGATACGCTAGGTTCGGAAGCACCGCCATTTTCATCCAGCTAAAGGTGAAAGGATTTGACACGACTAGCCAAAACGCCACGCGCGCAGTGACCTGGCTCCAGCAAGGAGACCACACGGCACATTCTGACCCACTCTCTGCAGGCTTTTATATTCTAATGGGGATAACTAACTAAGATGCCACAACCAACTATGTATGTATTATATGGCGCTCAGCAATACAAGAGGCTAAGAATGGATGCGAGCTAAAATGCTATTTCTTTTCAGCCGTGTGCGGAAAGAAACCCTTCTGCCACAAATTCTCTCTCCCCATTTTGGTCTGAATCTTAATTATTACTGTATTCATTAAAAATACCTCGAACCTTTTATATGCACCCTG